TTTTTAAAGAATAATCTGAGTTGCGAAATTGAATTAGTATATAATCCACGCGTTATTTTACTTTCGAATTTTTAGAAACCAAGAAGAAATGCAGAGCTTCTCCTTGAGCCGAATAAAATCAAAAAGTGCCCTCAAATGTCGATTTACCGGTTAATGGTGAAGATAACGTCCACGTTTAATTTCAAATCATTCTTAATCGGAAGGCAATTAAAAAATTACCGTATATTCTGGCCTATAACGCGCACTTTTAATACAAAAAATGAGATCAAAATTTACGGATGCGTGTTATACACCAGATATAAAAATGATAGATTTAAAAATAAAGGAAAAGAAGAGCAAACAAGAAGATTTTGTACATGCACCTAAACTGAGATTTCATAGGACCCAGCCCGCAATAATGTCTTCTAGGATACCAATTTCTTTTACTCCTTTCCGCAAAGCATATTCATTCTTTGGCATATTAATTGTGATATTTTATTTCCACTTATGTATGGAGCTTTCTCCAATACCAAACATCTTTTTTGTAGTGCGATTTCCACTTTCTTTTGTAAATTGAAAATTACCTTTCACTTGAAACCATCACTATGTTTTTTTTTCGTTTGGCAGGAGTACTAAAAGGTTTACGACTAAAAGGAACTCTATATCAAAGTGTATTTCAGCTAAGGCAAATGCGATTTACTAAAGTTCTCCTATGTTCGTTTCAAAATCACGGCTTCAAATGATTGCAGAAAGAAAAAGCATCTGACTCCAAATTCTGAGAATTCATTCGAATCGGAAGTACATTCGTATCCTATATTATTTTCCGCTTTTCTCCAAATCCTAGAATAAAATTCTTCAGCAAACTTCCATTGAATCCAACCTATCCTTCTTTGCAGGTTTATTTTCTCTCTCAAGCATATTCCCCACATGCATATTGTTCTCTTTATCGCTTGTCAATACAGCAAACCATTGTTCGAAAACCTTCGAGAAATCTTCGAAGGAACGACTGCAGAAGATATCAGCATCGCACATAATATTATTGTAAAGTTATTATAATTTTAATTAACCAGTCATTATGATTTAGAATTTTACTATAACTTCTCCTATTCCGTTTCCTCACCAGAAATGTAAATCAATTAGTATTTGAACTGAGCTTTTCGGGTGGTAAGACAAAGCGTGAGTTTTTGGATCTCGAGGCCAGGCTACTAAGTTTCGCCATCTCCAATAGGACTGTAATTCTTCGGCTTTGCGTTACTGGTTTCGAAGTTTAATTATTACGCCGGTGAGAAGCTCTGAGCCAGCTTAGAATTTAAAATCAATTAATTATGTAGTCTTTGATTACTTAGTTTCAAATTTGAATTTGACTGTTATTTTAAGTTACGTAGCCACAAGTGGTGGCTGATTTTGTAAGCATGAGACGTATATTTATGTTCGAGATCTGTTTTAATAAAAAGATTGTTTAAATCTTTCCAAAACTCTGGTGTTAATTCAGACCAGCGATAAGCAGTTAAGAATTTGATGCTAGTATCCTAAAAAAGGAAGTCACACTCTATACTACTAAAAATTTATACAGTCAAAAGTCGTTAATCCGGACTCGTCGGGACTCGGCGATTCCGGATTATCGATTTTTTCGAATTATAGATCATCAGTTTAAATCTGGTAAGATGACATGTAGAAATTATAAAATTAAAAATATGAAACCGTAATTTATGAAATAAAGAACAATTGTGATCTAAAGGGTATCAAAATTTACAAAAAAAGCTTAATATTTATTTGTTTACTTTATTAAACATTTCTTTCAATGTAAGTTGTTTAAGTTGCTTCGTTTTACGTGATAATACTTTCTCTTTAATTCTATAAACAGACATAATTTCTTGTTCAGTTACAAAGTTCTGCTGTTCAAGTCCTATAATTGCTGTGTCGAGAATACCGACTAATTTGTTAATCGAAATTTTTTCGTTTTCAATAACCTCTGTGTCACTTTCTTCACTATCGGAAGCGAATTATAATGACGAGGAATTTGATTTAAATCATATCAAAGACGGAGTACATCGAGATGAAATACTACATTTAGTAAGGAATTATAAGCCAAATAAAATAAAAACATCTGCCTTGAAGATAAGGATAGTGCTGACAAATCAACTTCCAATTCATTTCGCGCCGCGGCGTTCCCCCCCTCCCGCCGCAGAGAGCAGCGTGAAATTGATAAACAGATTTCGGAATGGTTAGAAAAACGAAGGATATGCTTTTATCCATTTTTTGCAGCAATTTCACTTTTTTTTAATGGACTTCGAAACATACTTTCGCTTTGTAGATCCTTTACATATTAGTAAATATATATCGGAAATTCTATTTGACATAATCGAAAGTTCAAGCTTACTTTTATAAAATTGCTCGTAACGGTCTGCAAAAAATAATAAGCCGGATCCAATTCGAAGATTAAGGAACAACGCAATCTGCAACATTAACTGAATTAGATAATTTTAGTTTAGCTTATACCGTCCGTTATACATTAAACGCGCATGCGTAAACGTATTATGCGCATGCGCACACGCATATTCGCAGCCGTAAAGGTCTTACGTGCATGCGTCAACGCGACGCATGCGCAGAAAGTTTGTAGCTTTGAGATCCGGATTATAGATCATTCCGGATTATGGGTGTCCGAATTAACGACTTTTGACTGTATATCTTTTTAAGTAATTTGATCTGGAGAAGTTCATTTAGCTACATAAATTAGCGTTCAAAATTAGACCGCACTCTAAATAAGGGAACAATATGCAACATTAGAAATTAAACTATATTATAAACGACAATGAAGGAAATTACAATTATAGTTACAAATGGCATTAAACAGTTGTAGCTACAAAACAACTTGAAAAATATTATTGAGTTCAAATTCGAGTAAAATGGGCGGCTAGCACTTTTTTATTGTACAATATTTATACTATATTCCGGATAATGTATAGTCAAATTATGGACTGTTGTGAATAAAAAAACATTGAAATGTTATGATAGCAGTTATCACTGGTGTTCACCCATAAGCTTTTCATTTTGTATTTTCCGTAGACAGTTTTGTTTTATACTTGGTGGTTTGAGATAGTAATTTTTCCATTTTTCCTCAACAAGCAAACTTACTGTATTTTTAGAAAAATATCAGATAATTCGCAATCCGATTAAACCCCTCTGTATAGTTCGAAATTCATTGTACGATAATCGGGAGCTAACCTCCAAGCATATCCTCTGCGTAGGAGCTCTATGGGCCTTCAAGGAAAGGAATATCGAAGCCCATGGGAATCCCTGAAACTAATCTCACGTGGAATTTGCCACAGTTGTTTTCCACCTTCCAGCTTTATTTCAGTTTGGATTTTATTGCTAATATTTTTAGTCTTGTTTTTCCACTATTGAAAAATTTCAGATGATTTTGGCCATTTGTTAGAAACAATGTTCAATACTTGTATTTATTCATGTTCTCAGAAATTATGGTCATTTTCAGAGATGGTCGTCTTAGGAAGGTATATCAGCCTGACATTTGAATCCCTGTATAAAATACAGAGGGTGTCCAAAAACATCGACCTCGGTTCTTGTATTCCTTAAGTATGATAGTAAATATAATATCAATTACAAAGTTACGTAAAAAAAGGTATAGACATTTGTAAAATGAATTAAAATTTTCAGGGAATTCAATTTAAAGATATACAAAATTTACATTTTTATATGGCCCCCGTACAAAAAAATTCTCAATTAGCAAAATGTAGCCCATACACTAATCAGGTTACAAAATAGTAAACAAGAAAGTCGGTCGCGCGCCGTGCCATTCATCTTTTCAGCCGTGTACCCGAACTGGCGCGAAATGTATACTTTTCGTGACATATATATTTCAGTGTAACAAAAGGAATTGTGAAATAATAAACAATGTTTAAGTACAAATAGTAATTTTAAGACGTCTAGGGTGTAATCATAATCAATTGATCAGCTGACAAAAATAATTGCATGATGGGTATAAGAGTTTTTTAATTCTTTATGCAAAATTAGTATATTTGAAACGTGTGTACATAACGAAGCTTTACGAAGAACTAAAATAATAGATCATCCAGTTTCGAGAGAAACAACTGAAAAAAAAAAAAATACTGACTTTACAATCAAAGGAAAAATATTCGATGTAGAATAACTCCAATCGCTTTCCCTAATAATACGCGGGATTTTATGCACAAATTCTTTACCACGAGTCAGGCTCGTGGCTTTTGTTTATGGAAGGAATAAAAGCCGAGGTCAATGTTTTGGGGACAGCCTGTATAGAAAGAGTAAGCAAATTGTACGTTATAAAAATATGCTGATTTGAAAAACATTACTGCATGATATTATCTCTGTTGCATAAATTACAAAAAAGAAACAAATTTTCTGAATCTCTCGAATATCTAGAATAAAATTTCTGATCATTTGTGTAAAAAAAAATCGTTAGAAAACTTTCTTGGAATGCTTCTTGATTTTATCATCGGTATTAAGAAAACAAGTGAAAAGAGTTACATGTTAATATCTTTTTATCTCTGATATGAAACAAATTACTTTTGACTCTTTTTTTTAATAACTATACTTTTAACTTTTGGAGGTAGAATATACTTAATTTGATATACTGAAAATTAGCTTTATTAATTAAAACGAGAGCCAAATGTAAATCTTTCGTCAGACTTTTGAGTAGAAGACAATCACCCACAGTTCCAGAGGGTTTTGGGCTTCTGTTGAAATTGTTTTGATATCCAATAAAGATGTTTACTTATGTTCACAGAGATACTAGTCACCTTCAGAAGCTCTTGGCTTAGAAAAATGAGCGTCATAAAAAGGTTCACTGTATTTCTTTGCTTCAACGTTTTGAATAAAATTTGTATATGAATGTACTATTTCCATTGAAAAATTTATTAAAATTTTACGATTAAAATGAAATTTAGTATGCACTTTTAGGGTTTCCTTTCATTCCATTAGCAGTAATATATTTTTCAATGATCTCAATAATGCTCTCTTTAAAGGTAAAGGACCATGGAAATCAAATAGAAGCTTACTGATCTCATCGATATTGATATTCTCTTTTGCTATGTTGACTCTTGTTGCTGCCGCAATTCTTCGCCGTAGATCCCGTCCTCTGCTGGCGTAATAATGAACATCTACCGAAGAAGAAAACAGGTTGTCATGTAATTTTATTTACTATGATAATCTATTTTTAGATAAAAGTATTACTCAGTTATTTAAATGTAAATATAATGACTTATCTTCGAATGTCTTAAAATAAAAGCAGTTGTGAAATCAATAAGTTTCAGCAGTGAATTACTATCTTGATTATTATTGTGATTTTTTGCTCGTATAAAATTATTTAATGATTTTCTGTGAAATGCTTGAATTTAATCAGTTTTCGTACAGGCGTCTTGGCTTCTTGATGATCTACCTTTACCAGTTCTTTTCATTTTTACTAGAATTCATACCCCTGTTTTCAGTTTGTAAGGAATAGACAATATTGCTATGCGTCATGAGATCTTAAGTTATCTTAGATGAAAAGCACAAATAAAAAAGAAGACTAACTTTTAGTGCGGCTTCAAGCAATAATAGTTTCTAGATATAAAATAAAAGACTTGAAATAAAACAAGAAGAAAACGAGATGAATTTACAAATTCTCTTTAACTCAGGAACGTGTATCACTTATTTTCAATTGTAAAACTTGAAAAATATCTGAGGCCGAAAATCCATAACTTCAGAGTCGTAAACATGCACTAGAACTACTAAATTGCTCATAAAGCAAAAGTTAAAAAATCTGATGTATACACCACATGACTTCCTTGTACGGAATATTAAGTTATACTCAATTTTCCTGCATTTCATTTAAACATATTGAATTAACAGTTAATGACTTTTAAATTAAATCTACTTCGTCGATAGCGCATATACCACAATAGTATAAATCCACTCTTTAAAGTTAACTATATTTATTTACCATAACGAAACTTCGGTGCTAGGTTACTTAACAGTGTTACATCTCCTTCATTTTATAACTCGGAGTGCATAAAAATTGTATCATCTGAAGAATTACAAGTTCTATTCAAATACTATAATAAATCTAAAACGATGTGTAAAAGAAATTAAACACATAAAAGAGAAACAGTTTTTCACAGACGCCTCTTACCTAATGTGCATGCGCTAATAATTAATTCAGTTCTGACTTCGCGGCAAGGCAAAAATACATAAAAGTTCAAAATATTTTCATTAAAAATTCAAAGTTATAGAAAAACATAAAACACCAAGTACAGTTAAAACAATTAAAAAAAAATTTACAATTAAAATTACAGTTTATACGCAAAAACAAGCTAATAATTAACATAAATGATGATTGCAGAATGAACTAAGCATAATTTAATTCGCAATAATAAAAGAAGACGTTACTTTGTTGTTGCGAAGCTTAAATTCTCTAGACTGGCAGCAAATCTACTGTTTTGCTAAGTTTCAAATGTAAACTAACATGGCTGCCATCGTAACAAAAATTAGGCTTAGCCTCACTTAAAAACTTTTAAATTGTTGATAATTCTATAGTTATTGCATACAAGTTAACTAAAGGCATAATTCAATAAGAACAACGCAATTCAATCATTTTTAAAGCAAAAAATGCACAATTTACAAACATATAAGAATAAAGAAACTGAGCTCACTGAGCCGAGTAACAGACTGGATATAGATATGCATATATTTATATACTTTTGGTGGGGCCGATTGCAACCAAAATAGGAGGTCCACATCTACATGTTATAGCAGTCCTATATACAAAATTTCAACCTTCCGAAGCTACTCGTTTTTGGGTTATGCGGGATACATACATACATGGCTGTACGTCATGTATAACATGTATAACATTATAAATGTATAACATTATAAAACTGATTTAAAATGAATACTGAAGCGATTTTTTTCCGTACAGACGCCACGGAAAAAAATCACTTCAGTATTCATTTTAAATCAGTTTTATAATGTTAATGGGGTAAAAACAGTCTTTTATTCTGTCTTTATCTACACATGTCACGCAAAAACATCGTTAAATTGCATTCGATAGCGGTCAAAATTAATATTTTCGTTGAAATATGATACCTGAAAATTTTCGCGATTAAAATACTTCCTTTTTACTTCGTACAAGGAAGTAAAAACGCTAAATTAGCACTTTAATCTGCAACTGAAATAACGTATGTTTATTGGAATATGTAATCATATTATGTTAGCAAAAATTGTTTTTGTACGACTGAAAGTGGGCTAAAACAGTAAGTGAAAAAAAATGTGACAAAAAAGTTATATAGATAGAAAATGAAACTTTAAATAAAAATTTAAGTGCAGGATCATAAAGAAAAGCATGAGAACGGAATTAAAATATAAAGTTATAGCCACTGAATGCGTGGGCTTCATGCTGCCCTTATATTTTTTTTTAAGGATTTTGTGCTTAATTCATCAAAGTACTGATATCTAGTTAGGTGCCTATGCCTCCTCGCCCTCCAAAAAGAGATTATATTTGTACATTCGGCACAGGGCTGTTTCTAGCGGGGGTGCAGCGCCTAAAAGTACGCCGGCGGCGAAAATCAGGGGTGGCCGTATTCTCGCGATAACACGACTAAATATTTTAAATTCATTGTAAGTACTTGTCATATGTACTTTTTATAAAATTTGCAATATGTAAGTATGAAATGAAATTTTAATAATCACTGAGTACTTTTTTTTAATAAAGCTAATTGAGCTAATGGATCATAATTGAGCTAACGGAGTCAGTTCTATGTGTCGACTAGCTGCTGTATGCCTGCAGTTCAGATATTTTATCTCGCTGCAGTATGGGAAAAACTGATTTTGGAGACGGGTCTACTATTGGGCTCGCTGCGGGTCACTCGCACAGGTGTAAAACTTAGGCCAGTTTACATCTGTTCAAGCGGCGGAGCGGCTCTCTTCCGGGCGTCCCGAACGCGTAATGGCAGACCGCGCATTGAGTTGAACATTGTTAAGCGAATTTCGCTTACTGCGCATGCTTGATTGTGTACCTTTGGCGCGGGGAGAAATATTGGCGACCCTACGTTAGCTTATTCGTGATCTCCATGGCTGTCGAGTGTGTTCAAGTGATGTTTAAAACTGCAATGTTGTGGAACTTTGCTTATTAGTTATTTTAACGTCCATGCCGATTGCACTTGCTTATTTTTCTAATATATGTTTCATTTTAATTTGTCAATAACAGTGCATTTAATATTTGTTAACATATGTTTGTAATAATTCGTTATTTAAATGTAATTTGTTTACATGTTATAATTCAGTAATTGTAAACTGGAGTATCTCGCTTAGTTTGTTAGCGAATATTCGCGCTTTTATTTTCTCGTTTCAAAGAAACTTAATAACTAGCATTTAAAGAATTGTAAAATTTCTTCAGTGTTATTTGCAAGCACTTGTTATATTCCTCAGTGTTTCTTTATGTATGTACGAATGGAACGTATGGTAAATCCTGAATTGTTTTTATTGCTTAAAAAGTATAATGAATAAATTTTCAACTACTATATCCTAAATTTCAGTCTTTTTCTGAACGAAAATTTGTACAGTTCCAAAGGAATGTGCAGAATTTCATAAGTATTATATTTTACATTTTGAATGTAAACACTGCTTCACATTACTTCGCAATAATTTCAGCTTTCTAGTTGTTTGAGCAGTACAGCAAAAAATAGTATTTTTAACACAGTAATTAATTTACATTTACATTATACTCTACGAAGATTGAAACGCCAGATTTGTTTACAATTAGATGGCGATACATCTACCATATACCGTATTTATCTTCTTTTCAAATCGCGCCAACATTGTAATTACGCCAAATTGTTTTCTGGACATGCGCAGTATGCAACATTCGTTTAACACTGTTCAACTCGATGTGCGGTCTGCCATTACGCGTCCCGAACCGAGGGAACGGACCTGTACTCTGATAGATTGTGTACATCAATCAGAGTGGACTGACAATTTGTCTATGTTTGTTTACAAAATGGATGCAGACGTGGCAGCTGCAGTGCTTGAAGCAGTTTGAAATGAATTAATTTCTGTTCTTGAAAAAAAGAAGGAGAAAAAAAAAAAAAGAAAGAAAGAAAAGGAAATGGCTACGTGACTGGGTAGCTCGCCGCGATGAATTAGGGGTATCAAATCAGCTATTAAATGAATTTCCGGAAGAGGATGTCCGAAGTTACAAAAACTTTATTGTATTTCAGATACAAGGACTTAAAATATATTCTGTAAACATAATTGAAATTTATTCACTTTCAGAATATATTTATTAGTTGATTTAAAAGAAATGAAGTTTATTGAGGGAAGTTATTTAGTCAACTGTGGTTATTGAAATTTAAGTTAAAAAAGTTTTTCTTCTATATATAACTGTTTATTTACACCTAATTAATCATTTACAAAATAATGTAAGAGTAATAATGTGTTTTATTAAAAGAAAGAATATATTTATTCATCCAGAATCTGCAGAATCAGTAGCTTTCTGTGCATGTAATTAATTATGCAGAGTTCTGACTGGAACTGTATTATTTCTAGAGCAAAATGCAAAATTAACACATGTAATATTTATTCAAAGCTACCATTAACACAACAGAAATAAACTGTACAATATCTACCTAATTATTCAGAAAATCTTAAATAAATAAGAAGTAGCAAAAAATTTAGGAGCATTACATATAATACCACAGGTAAAAGAATATATATATGTGATGTATCAGCTTTTGTCCAGACTAAATAGATCGTTGAAGAAATATAGATGTAGTCGTAGCTTAAATTATCAGACGATAAGTTTAAAAAACATGATCCATTTATTATTATTCAGGAGAAATAGCAGTTATAAAATCAGATATCCGGAGTAAATAAAAAGAATTACTAATAACTTTTTGTATGAAGTTTACTGCATCGTAGCATTAAAGAAAACCCCCCGATATTCTTTTGCGAGTCCTTTTATAGTCTCTGGAAAGGCGGAGCTTCCAAGAAATGACGTCAGCCTCATCAGCCAATCCAGTTCGCTTTAAATATTTCCAGAACTTTCTAAAACTGTACGTGTAGAAAAGGTGGGAAAAACAACTTGACTACGGGCTGTGGATTTAATTCCACGTACTTTCAAATAAGAAAACGTCGCTATTAAAATGAAAAGAACATACAGTTAGAATTTTAAGTGTATTCTTGATTATGGAATTTTATCATTACATATGTATATATATATTATGAAATAGT